TTGAAGCGCGATGTTGAAATTGTTGGACACACAGTGTGTTTGGAAGGATTTCGGCATGCGCGCGCAGCGGCCGCGCGTATGTGCCCCGATAGTATGTTTTACAAGGGATTCGCGAACAAGTACTATGTTGGAACAAGAAATGTCACCGTATAGTATTTTTTGGAAGGGGAACCGCGGGGGGACCGATACCGGCCTGGCTGGGATAGTATGAATTCACATGTCGGATGGGCATTGGGTCAGAATCATCTGTGTTTTGCATCGGTTCCCGGGGAGTCGATAAGCCCGGGGGGGGCAGGGCGGTAGAACCTATTTCCTTTGCAGGATAATTTTCTACTCTCTACACAGCAATCATGACAGCAACAGGTAAGTGTGACTCACCGAGCGCGTTCCACTACTCGCAAAGCGACTACTCGCAAAAGTGCGAACAAACCCACGCTCGCCTCGATGTAAGATGAGTGCAAATCCCCCGCGGTGGATCCATGCCATTCGCGAGTAGTGACTGCGAGTAGTGGAACGCGCTTGCCCAGTGACAACACCTGCCCTGCCCCAGACATCCGACGTCTCGATTTTTTTCGAGACACGGGCCCCCGACCTCCCGACCACTTCCCCGGGACCGGCTTCTCGTCCTGGGTCGTTTCTTGACGCTCCCGGGGCCTGGCGGCGGCCGCGAGAGGCCGAAAACCGAGAGAGAAACCTCCGTTTCGATTTCTACGAGGCGCCCGATGTTTGGGGCTGCTGTGCCCCCTCCCCCCGAGGACGGCGGCGCCCGAGCCCGCCTCGCTCCTGCGCCTGCGGCTGCGCCCCTGGGCGCCGGCCGCCTCGCCGAGCGGCACCAGGCGACGAGATCTGGACACGTCCGCGGTCCCCTGGCTGGGCCCCTCCTGCACCCCCCCTTCGAAATCGAGCGCGAGCTTTTATCCAAGACCCCAGAGATCCAACGCCTTGACAAATTCAAGACGCAGGTTTTTCGCAATCTTCGGCCTCAAGGGGCCCTCGTTGGGCCCCGGGACCTTCAAAAAACGACGCACGGTGAAAAACCGGTCCTGGGGAACGGGTCGAGACCTCCTGGGGCGGCGTACTGAGAAAATCACGACGTCGGATCTGTGGGACCCTCGCCCCCGAATTTCAATACCGACGGGCGCGCGCAGCGCGGCCCGCGAGGGCAACAAAAGTTGCAGTCGCCGGTATCGGCGTCAACCGTGAAATTGGGGGTCCGCGGGCGTCGCCACGTCGTTGGAAAAAGTGCGTTTGAGAGGAGGGGTGTGGGCCCAGGAGCTATGTATACGCCCTCGTGGCCAAGCCGGAAGGGCGTGGCGCAAACACCGCTGCTGGGCTCTGGATGGGCCTGGCCAGGGAGCAGTGGATACAGTCAACCCGTATGGTGAGTATGAGCAACTCTCCAAGGTTACCCTTGCATCCTTCCCCTTCGGCCCATCCTTGGCCGCTTTCGCGTGGGAAGGCGACTCAAGCAGATTGGGATCCGAAATTCCAAACATGCTTCTCTTCAGCGACCGACCCAGACATCCGACGTCTCGATTTTTTCGAGACACGGGCCCCCGACCTCCCGACCACTTCCCCGGGGACCGGTTTCTCGTCCTGGGCGTTTTCTGACGGTCCCGGGGCCCGGCGGGGGGCTCGAGAGGCCGAAAACCGAGAAAAACCTCCGTTTCGATCTTTGCAGCGACCGATGTGCACAGATCTCGTCGCCCTGCAGCACCTGGCCCCTGGCGGGCGGCCTCCTCCAGCGGGCCCGCCACGTCCCAGCGGACCGCGCTGGGCCCGCCCCGCTGGCCGCGGCTCCTCGGGAGCACCCGCAGAACAACAAAAAAACGGTGCGGTGGCCGAAGCCGTGTGGTTCAAGCAGTGGCGAAGCGTCCTAGCTCGCCTACAGGCCTACCAACATCATGTTCTAAATACTTTTTGTGGTCTCCACGAACTGTTTTTAGAACACTTCTGGCTGGCTAGTGTTCTAAGAACACTGCTTTTGTTCTTAGAACATGTTTGGGTTGTAAGAGGATTTCGTGGTAGGCCTATAGGAATGCCGGGACGGTATGTCCCTGCTCAAGTGGCGTCAGTGCACAGACATCGGGCGTCTCGTAGAAATCGAGTCGGAGGTTTTTCTTGGTTTTCGGCCTCTCGCGGCCCTCGCCGGGCCCCGGGACCGTCAGAAAACGACCCAGGACGAGAAACCGGTCCCGTGGAAGTGGTCGGGAGGTCGGGGGCCCGCGTCTCGAAAAAATCGAGACGTCGGATGTTTGGGTGTCGCTTCCCTGGGGCAGCGGTGAGGGACCCCTGGCTCCGAATCCGGCGTGCTCTGGGCGATTCCGCAAGTAGGGCGGACATGTTCTCCCTTCAGGCTCCTTTGGTGGCGATTCCCACCCTGCTTTGCCGTCGCCGTTTTCGCCATGCTTGTGCAGAGATGTCCGCTCTACCTTCTTGCGGCGGACATTTCCGCCCTATTTTTCTGCATCGTTTGTGGTGCCTTTCCGACAGAGCTTCAATCGGAAAATCAACCAAAGTATGGCGGATTTGGAGTCAGGGTGGCCGAAGCCGTGTGGTGTCGGCGTCGCTTCTCAGCGGCAGCGGTGGGTGGGGGACAGGCGTACTACGGTCGTGCCGAGGTGCCTAGAACGTCGAGTTCGTCTCGGGAAGGGTACCTGGTGTTCTTCTTGTTTGTTGGACGTTCTTGTACATCCTGGGGTGAGGGTGCCCTCGGATGCTCCGCGTGTTGTGGCAGGCGGAGGGTCCCATGTTCTTGAAGGATGTTCTTCTGTCCGAGGTCCGGTCGTGCTATGCCTGTCCTCCTAGGACAGGCATGCTAGGGGGCAGCAACGGAGGTGACATGCGTACCATGCCTGGAGCGTGTTTCTTAATTGCTTGGGGCATAATGAGCATTATAGCCCCCGGCCCGAACATCATGCTCAGTATCGCCAAACATCTGGAAACGCGCTCCTGCCCCCCTACGACAGGTATGCTGCGGGGCAACGGTGGGGGGGACAGGCATACCGTGCCTGTCCCCCTGGGGCAGGCATATCAGGGGGCAGCGGTGGGGGGGACAGGCATGCTGGGGAGGGGGGGACAGGGGGGGGTCGATGTGGATAGGGGCCCGATGGCCCCACCCCTCCCAGGAGTATGGGGATTTGCCATCATGGTCCTACCGCCGATCTATCGGCCATGTATCTCCGATTCCAGGTCGAAGTTTCCCCCCCTTTGCCTATCCCTCCCTCACCGATGCCCCTCGGTTTAATGTAATTCACGCTGCGCGTATCTCCACCAGCCTCCACCGGGAGAGCGCGAAGATAGTCGCGAATCGCAGGAGGAGGAGCAGGAAGAAGTCAGCGACGACCTTGCCGACCGTCCAACACAACCCACTGGCAACGCGACCTCTTGGCACACCCAGCCGCCTCGGATTCCAACGGGCTCTGCGACGGTTAGTCGCCGCCACTGGGAAGGATGTGATGATAGTCGCGAGTCGCAGGGTGAGGGGCAGGGAAAAGACAGAGAGGACTTGGCCTTCCGTCCAAAACAACCAGCTGGCAATACGACCCCTGGGAACACCCAGCCGCCTCGGATTCCAACCGACTCTGCGATGGTCGTTCATCCACACCGGGAAGATTGCGAAATGGGTCGCGAGCCATAGGACAAAGGGCAGGAAGAAGACAGAGAGAACCCTGCCGACCGTCCAACACAACCCGCTGGCAACACGACCCCTGGAAACACCCAGCCGCCTCGGATTCCATTAGCCTCTGCGACGGCCAGTCGCCTCCACTGGGAAGAGTGTCAAGATTGCCGCGAGTCGCAGGGTGAGGGGCAGGGAGAAGACAGGGAGGACCTTGGCCTTCCGTCCAAAACAACCAGCTGGCAATACGACCCTTGGGAACACCCAGCCGCCTCGGATTCCAATTGCCTCTGCGACGGTCAGTCGCCTCCACCAGAAAGTTTGTGAAGATAGCCGCGAGTCGCAGGGTGAGGGGCACGGAGAAGACAGAGAAAACCTTGCCGACCAGATTCTTCGACATGCGACGGTTAGTCGCCTACACCGGGTGGATTGCGAAATGGATCGCCTCCACCTGGAAGAGCGCGAATATAGTCGCGAATCGCAGGAGGAGGAGGAGGAGCAAAACAAAGTCCGGGAGGACCTTGCCGACCATCCAACACAACCCACGGTCAGTCGCCGCCACTGGGAAGAATGTGATGATAGTCGCGAGTCGCAGGGTGAGGGGCAGGAAAACAGAGACGACTTGGCCTACCGTCCAACCCAACCAGCTGGCAATACGACCCTTGGGAACACCCAGCCGCCTCGGATTCCAACAGACTCTGCGATGGTCGTTCATCCACGCCGGGAAGATTGCGAAATGGGTCGCGAGCCACAGGACAAGGGGCAGGAATCATATAAGAAAAACCATGCCTAGTGTCCAGCACAACCCACTGGCGACACGACCCCTGGGAACGCCCAGCCGCCTCGGATTCCAAGGGGTACTGCGATGGTTAGTCTCTTTCACCGGGAAGGGTGCGAAATAGGTCGCGAGCCGCACGAGAAAGGGGCAGGGAAAATACAGAAGACCTTGCCTACTGTTCAACACAACCCACTGGCGACACGACCCCTGAGGACACCCAGCCGCCACGGATTCCAACAGACGCTGCGACGGTCAGTCGCCTCCACCGGGAAGAGTGTGAAGGTAGTCGCGAGTCGCATGAGGAAGGGCAGCCCTCCGCTGGGGAGGAGACCATCGAGGAGGCCATCGAGCAGCCTTCCCCTGACGAGCGGGACAACGAAGCCATCGTTCAGCTGGTTTCCAGGAGTCTTTTCGCCCCTATTCGTCCTCCTTCACCTGCCAGCGACTCGCTACGGGCGGGCGCCTCTACAATCAGCCACGGGGCAACCCCTGCATCCCTGCAAAGCGCGCCAGACCCCCCCCGCTCGGGTGGGGACGGGAATTCGACTGCCGAGACGGGCCGGCAGCCCAACTGGGGGGCATCCTTGACGCGTCGGACTGGAAATGGGTGGGCGCCCAGGCTGTTCGCCGATCGCCAGCGTCCAGGACCACGGGGCTCCCGCACTGGAAGGCCGATGGTCGTTCACATTCGCCGGGAAAATTGCGACATGGGTCACGAGCCACAGGAGAAAGGGCAGGGAGAAGACAGAGAGGACCTTGCCGACCGTCCAACGCAACCCACTGGCAACGCGACCTCTGGGAACACCCAGCCGCCTCGGATTTCAATAGCCCCTGCGACGGTCAGTCGCCTCCGCCGGGAAGAGTGTGAAGATAGCCGCGGGTCGCAGGGTGAGGGGCAGGGAGAAGACAGAGAGAACCTTGCCGACCGGATTCCTCGAGATGCGACGGTTGGTCGCCTACGCCGGGTGGATTGCGAAATGGATCGCCTCCACCTGGAAGAGCGCGAATATAGTCGCGAATCGCAGGAGGAGGAGGAGGGGCAGGAAGAAGACCGGGAGGACCTTGCCGACCATCCAACGCAACCCGCTGGCAACGCGACCTCTTGGCACACCCAGCCGCCTCGGATTCCAACGGGTTCTGCGACGGTCAGTCGCCGCCACCGGGAAGAATGTGATGATAGTCGCGAGTCGTAGGGTGACGGGCAGGGAGAAGACAGAGACGATTTGGCCTACCGTCCAACACAACCAGATGGCAATGCGACCCCTGGGAACACCCAGCCGCTTCGGATTCCAACAGACTCTGCGATGGTCGTTCATCCGCATCGGGAAGATTGCGACATGGGTCGCGAGCCACAGGACAAGGGGCAGGAATCCTATAAGAAAAACCATGCCTACTGTCCAACACAACCCACTGGCGACACGACCCCTGGGAACACCCAGCCGCCTCGGATTCCAATAGCCTCTGCGACCGCCAGTCGCCTCCACCAGGAAGAGTGTGGAGATAGTCGCGAGTCGCATGAGGAAGGGGCCCGCCGCTGGGGAGGAGACCATCGAGGAGACCGTCGAGCAGCCTTCCCCCGGCGAGCGGGACAACGAAACCATCCTTCAACTGGTTTCGAAGAGTCCTTTCGCCCCCACTCGCCCCCCCTCCCCTGCCAGCGACTCGATGCGGGCGGGCGCCTCTACAATCAGCCACGGGGCAACCCCTGCATCCCTGCAAAGCGCGCCAGACCCCCCCCGTTCGGGTGGGGGCGTGAGCTCGACTGCCGAGACGGGCCGGCGGCCAAACCGGGGGGCATCCTTGACGCGTCGGACGGGAATTGGGTGGACGCCCAGGCTATCCGCCGATCGCCGGCATCCAGGACCGCGGGGCTCCCACGTTGGAGGGCCGCTCTATAGAGCCCGGGTCCACGACTCCCAGTGGGAACCCCGCGGCGTGTCACCGAACGAGGTGGCCGTGCAACGCGCTGCCCCTGGCACCGCGCGCGCTTTCGACCCGCGTCGGCGCGACCATCGAACCTGCGTCGCCTTCCTGACCTCACTTCGCAGCCGCAGCTGGGATGTTCGGGCCATGAGCGACTCATTGGGCTTGGGTATCGACTGTGCGCGTGCGCGTGGACAACACCTGTGACATCGCGTCTGCGCGAACAGGGGGCGCCAGGCACCCCCGCGAGACGGTTGGGATCTCGCGAGCGCCGACGCTGGCCGCGCGCAGTAGGGTGGGGGTGCTCTGGGCACGACTGGGAGGAGGAGCCGTGCAACCGAGAGCCCATGGACCGCGAAACGGTTCGACAGTAACGCCGAGTGTGGGGCGCCACCCAGTTTCGCTGAGATGCGGTTTTGACAGCGCACCGGTTATGTGGATTGGCAGCCCACCGCGGTTGTCCCTGTCTGCGTCAACTGCTCGAGTCCCTCTCATGCATCACTTCGTGGCTGGGGTTGCCGCCCGTGCCGCTGTCGGGTGGTACTCCGCCAGCTTTGTTCTCGCGACGAGTATCGCGCCGGTGCTGATGTCCGAAAGGGTTCAGTGGGCTCCGATGCTCGCGTCTCCTGCTTCCTTTTGCCGCAGCGGTTAGCTGCCACAGCGGGTTTCCTACCGTGCCTGGCGTGCAGTTCCCCTCCTCTCCCTCGTTTCACTGGGTTTATCCCGCGCGGCTGGGGCTGCCGCTCATGCCGTTGTCTGATGGTGCTCTGACAGTCTGAATTCCATGCAGGGTTTACACTGGGAGTGGGCGGTCAGGTGGCCCCTGGCCTGCTCCTGGCTGGTGTCCGCTCCACTGGTGACCGGGAGGGTTCCGTGAGGTCTCGCTTCGAATTCCATGCAAGGATCGCACTGGGGATGGCCGGTCAGGTGGCCCCTGACCTGCTCCTGCTTGGTGTCAGCGTCCAGTGGGGACCGTTTGGGTTTCGTGGGGGCTCGCTACGCTGCCGACCTCTGCGGTGCAAGGACTTTGGCATGCGTGGCTCTGTGCGCCCGTCGGCTGCTTTCTCCTTTGTGGGCTTCGCGTTCGAAATGTGCCACCGTGTACAAACTAGAGGATCTGCCGCTTGCAGTCCTGTCAGTGGCGAGGTTGCCCCCTCTTCATTCCGGCGCTGACACGATGCTGTTGTGTCCCCCACGGCACGGACGTCGTCCTGGAGTGCCTGTCGGACCTGCTCGTTTTTGTCGGACCCAATGCCGACTCATACCGGGTGATCGGCCTCTGCGTGTACATGGTCGCGCTGCCGCGCAATTGTGGCTGCGCCTATTTGACGGTCGCCAACGGGATTACCGCGCCGCCGGGTTGGGGCTGTCGTCTCTGGTCCTCCTGAGTGGCTGCCCGCGCGCTCGCTTCGCTTGCCTCTCTCTTTTCTTGCTGCCTAGTCGCGGCCCGGCTATGTTCGGGCGGCTTTCGACTTGCTTCGCAAACCCGCAGACCAAAAAATATCCCCACCAGCTCTCTTCCTCCTCTTCCTTTTGCTCCAGCGGTTCGCTGACTCCCCCTCCTGTTTCACTGGGGCGTTCCCTCGCGGCTAGGGTTGCCGCCAATACTGCTGTCGGATGGTGCTCCGCCAGCTTTGTTCTCACGCAAAAGTATTGCACTGGGAGTGGGCGGTGAGGTGCCCACGGGCTGCCTTAGGCCGGCGCCCCCCCCACTGCTGATGACCGAAAAGGTTCAGTGGGGTTCCGATGCTCGTGTCTCTCTTCTTCTCTCCCCCTCTCCTTCCGCGTGTGTGCCTGGCGTGCACTTCCTTTCCTCCCCTCCTGCATCCCAATGCCGCAGCGGTTAGCTGCCACACCGGGGTGCCTACCGTGCCTGGTGTGCAGTTCCCCTCCTCTGCCTTCTTTCACCGGGTTTATCCCGCGCGGCTGGGGTTGCCGCCAATACCGTTGTCTGATGGTGCTCTGACAGCCTGAATTCCATGCAAGGATCACACTGGGAGCGGGCGGTCAGGTGGCCCCTGGCCTGCTCCTGGCTGGTGTCCGCTCCACTGGTGACCGGGAGGGTTCCGTTCGGTCTCGCTTCGAATTCCATGCAAGGGTCACACTGGGGATGGCTGGTCAGGTGGCCCCTGGCCTGCTCCTGTCTGGTGTCGGCCTCCACTGGTGACCGAAAGGGTTCAATGGGGTCTCGATACGCTGCCGACCTCTACGGTGCAAAGACTTCGGCATGTGTGGCTCTGTGCGCCCGTTGGCTGCTTTCTCCTGCAAGGACTTCGCTTTCGACATGTGCCACTGCTGTACAAACAAGAGGTACTGCCGCTTGCAGTCCTATTTATATGTGACGAGGTTGCCCCTCTTCACTCTTGCGCTGACACAGTGCAGTTGTGTCGCCTACGGCACGGACGTCGTCCGGGTGTGCCTGTTGGTCCTGCTCGTATCTGACGGGCCTTGTGCCGATTCACACCGAGTGATTGGCCTCTGCGTGTTTATGGATGCGCCGCCGCGCCATTTTGGCTGCGCTGATGGTTGCCGCCGGGATCTCCACGCCACCGGCTTGGGAGTTTCGTTTCTGGCTTTTCTTTTGAGTGGCTGGCTGCCCGCGCGCTCGCTTCGCTTGCCTTTCTTGTCTTGCTTCCTAGTTGCGGCCCGGCTGTTGTTCGGACGGCTTTCGACCTGCTTCGCGTGCAGACCAAAAAGTATCCCCACCAGCCTCGCTGCCTGTTAGCTGTAGCTTTGGACGGCGCGCAGCCCCTGCGCTTGCGCTAGCGAACAACAATTATCCCCACCAGCCCATTCAAAAACCCTGCCCACGAGAGGTGACGGGAAAAGGGACGAAGGGACACATCCAGGGAAACAAAGCGAGCAACCAGGATGAACCGAGAGATATCTGGGAGCAAAGGGGTGGCCTCGGAAAACCTCTTCGGGCCATCCCCGGGGGCCGCGTGGGGGCCAGGGACGGAGGATGAGGAGGAAAAGGAGGTGGAGGGATCCAAAGAGTGTGATCCTTGGTGCTTCTGCTGCTGGTGGTGCTGCTGATGTTGTTGCTGCCTCTGCTGGTGCTGCGGCTGGTGCCATGGAAGGCCTGTTGGGGCCATTTAGGAGAACATCAAACAACACATGGGGGGTCTTCGATGTCGGCCCCTTCCCAGGAGCCCTCAACATCGCCTCTTGGAGCTCTCCTGGGGCCCTTTGGGAGGTTGGAGCTCTCGTAGGGCTCTTTTAGGGATCTTTGGGCCCTCTTGGGGCCCTCTTGGGGCCCTCTTGGGGCTCTCCTGGGGCCCTCTTGGGAGCCCTGGAAGGCCTCGTGGGGCCATCTTGAAGGCCATCGATCAAAGGAGGACATGTTTTTCGTTCAGCCCCCCCCCAAAGAGGCCAACATGGGGCCAAAACCTTCGTACAACCAATGATTTTGGCGCCCAGAGGGCTGGTGGTGCAACGTTCGGCCCCCCCCCAAAGAGGCCAAAATGGTGCCAAGGCCCTGGCACCTCGCCGAGGCCGTTTTGGACGCCCTGACACCTCGCGGGGCCCCCAAAAAGAGTCCAGGGGGGGAAGGGAGGGTAAACCCTTCCCCGTAGGGGAAGAGGGTTTTTTTTTGAAGAGGGAAGAGGAATCTCGTTAGACCACCTGTCGCCGAAAGGGCTGGTGGGATTATGTCGATACCCACAAGGCCATGTCACCTCACAGATCGCTCCGGCTTGGAATGTGGGGCAGACACATGAGGCCTGGGGTTCCCGCCGTGATTCCCTGCGATGTCGCAATTATTTGGCAACGTCGGATCTCAGTCAGTATCGTTTAACCGATCCCCACCCCCATTGAGCCATGGTACCTCCGCCACAGCATCCCACCAACCCAGTTGGGGATATAGGCCCCTCGAAACCCGAAAGGAAGAGCCTTATCCACATCCAGGGGGGCAAATCGGCCAGTGGGGACCAGGCCGCGCCAGTGGGGATGGGGATCGGTTAGACCGTGCTCAGGGTGAGCCAGAGGGGATCCGGAGTGCTCGGACGTTTTCGTCAATTTTCTGGCCTCGGGATGCGTTCCAGCAGCTGCGCCTCGCCGGGAGCGTCCAGGGGGGGGGCCCAGATCGCCCCGAGCGGCCGCCAGAGGCCCGAGTTCATTTATGCCCGGGAAGCGAAACCTTCGGAGGAGGGCTGGTGTGGTGGTCATCGTTTTTTTGATTCACTGTTTTGCCGATCGGCGCGGGCCTTCGAACCTCCCTCCCTCCCCCCCCCCTTGGAGTGGATCTTGGCTGCTTTTAGGCGCCTGTTTCGAGCAGGCGGAGTCTCCCCCCCACAGGACGCACTGTCGCAAACAGTCGCACTGAGCAGAGGTCTGGAGCCAGACCCCCCCCCCTCCCCCGCCCCTCCGCCCAATGTCGAAACGCCGAATAAAAAAACGCTCACTTGGTGGATCAGTGTTGGAGGCCTGAAAATGGGCACCAACACCAACACAGGGTGTTGCCTCCACAGGGAGAAGATGATCCTAGATTTCGGTGTTGGTGGTAATTTTGCAGCACCTTGGAAGCCAGAACATTACCACCATCACCGAGATCAGGATCTTCTTCCCTCGGTGGAGACACACCGCCGATATTGGTGTTGGTGTCAACCTCTAGGCCTGCGACAGTGGGGCTTCTGGGGTGACCGTACTTTTTTCGGACTCGGGTCGCTCTCCGCGGATGCCCCGGGCAGCTGGGGCCTCCACGGTCCCAAAGCAGTGCGGCCACGGAGGGGGTTCCGAGGCCACTGCACGGTCTGCCACCGCACCGCTCTTCAGCCACGCGCAGAGGGGGGGTAAGGGGGAGGCAGGAAGGCCTCTGAGAAGCACCCCTGCTTCTCAGAGGGCGCGGGCCCTGTCTGAAGATGCAGGGCCAGCGCCTTCTGAGAAGCAGCCTCCTGCCAAGAAGCCTTCCCCCCCCCCCCCCGTTCTGCTCCTCCTCCTCCTCCTCCTCCTCCTCCTCCTCCTCCTCCTCTGGGACCCCCAAGGCTCCGGCGCCGCCCGCCGCCCCCCGGAGCCCGGGAGCGTTTGCCCGCCCGCGCGGCTGGAAGGTCTCGTCGCCCCGCCCGGCGCCCGACCTGGACACGCTGCTTGTCGAGGTGCGCGCGAGCGAGGACTCCCTACAGTGCCGTTTGAAAATGCATGCTCCGCGTGCGGATCGTGTATGAAACGTGCAGGGATTTGGTATCAAAAGCGAGGAGCTCATGCATGAATTTATTCACACATTAGGCATGTATAAAAAATCCAATGTATTCAAAACTGCCCTGTAGGCCTCCAGGAAGGGGCTGGAGCAGATGGGGTCGGAGGATCGTGCCGCCTCGACGATGCATCGCCGATGCGGCTCGATGTGAAGCCCGATCTGCTTCACGTCGACGTCGCCGATCCATCGCCGACGTCGGCGATGCATCGCCGGTGCATCGCCGGTGCATCGCCGATACATCGCCGATGCATCTCTCGGCGATGCGGAGCGATCCTCCGACCCCATCTACTCCGACCCCATTTAGGAGGCCTCTAGTGTTGCTAGAAGTGCCCCCAGGATCCTCGGGGTGGCCCAGACGGCCTCCAGAGCGCCCCTCACGAGGCCTGGAGGGCCCCGGGGCTCCAAAATGGAGAGAGTAGCTGGGAGCACCTTGGGCCAGGGGCACTCTTAGTTGCACCCGGTCAGGGGAGGAATCGGCGGCGAGCACCGGGGGGAACTGAGAAGGAGCGGGCCTTCTCAGAAGGCTTGGAAGTCCCCCGGCCTTCTGATCAGTTTTCTCAGCCTTCCCCGAGAACAGGAAGCCTCTCGGAAGGCGCGAGCGTTTCTGAGCAGCCCCGCTGCCTTCCGAGCAGGCCTTCTCCTTCTCGCTTCCCCCCCTCGCTCGCCGCCGATTCTAGCAACACCCGATCAGGGGAGGAAGAGCGGAGCATTTTCTTTGGGTGGAGGGCACAGGGTGAAATCTGAAATGCCGTTTCGCCGCCGTTTCGATGGATTTTCGATGCTTGAATCTGCAAGCGGTGAATCACAAGGTGGATTGATTTTCGAGGTGCAAAAGCCCATATGGATTTCACCCTGAGCCCTCCACCCTAAGAAAATTCTCGGAAGCGACACCGATGCCGCTGCGCGTCCCAGAGGGCCCTCGCCGCCGCGGCGGGACGCTTCCCCGAGGCAGGCTGGTCGGGGCGCGCCCCCGGAGAGGCCTGGGGAGACCGGGGAGCAGCGGCGCCGCCACCGCTTCTCGGCGGGGAGCGAGGGGGGGAAGCTCAGAAGGCGGCGGGGCTTCTCAGAAACGCTCGCGCCTTCCGAGAGGTTTTCTGTTTTCGGGGAAGGCTGAGAAAACTTATCAGAAGGCCCGGGGACTTCCAAGCCTTCTGAGAAGGCCCGCTCCTTCTGATTTCCCCCCAACGCTCGCCGCCGATGTCGGGGAGGTTTTCGGTGTTTTCGCTGAAGGCTCAGAGGATTTCTCGGAGGGCTGTGGGACTTCGAGCCTGCTGAGAAGGCCTTCTCCTTCTCCGTTCCCCCCCTCGCTCGCCGCCGATCTTTGCCCTCCCTGAGGAGGCCCTGCTCGGCTACCGGCAGGGCGCGGAGGGCCTCGAGCTCGTAGTGCTCCGGGCACCACAAAGAACCACGACCGCAATCGAGGGGATTTTTCTGGAGGGCCCCTCGGGGGATAATCCACCGACCGCGACATGAACAATCTAGTTGTGGTTGTGGCCGATATGGCCGTCACGGGACGCCCACATCGACCACAATACGAGGCTGGTTTCGGTGGTCTGACGATTGGATCCCATTTTGGTTTTATTCGCGATAGCGCCCGTGACTGGTCACGTCACGATTCGCGTTGGCGCCGTCTGGGAATTAGCCTTTTCTTGGCGTTCACAAACTGCGCTGGTGCGAATCGTGACATGACTGACCCCCTCCCCCCACCACCCCTGGTAACGCCCAGTATCTCCAGTGGATGCAAGATAGCTTCTTTTTGGGATGCACAAGACATCTCCTGTGGTCGCCTGATGTCCTAGCAGCTCGCAACATTCCCTTGTAATGTCGCGTATCTAGTGAGTAGAGATGTTTTGGAACAGCTGTATTTTTTGGGGTCTAATCACGAAATGGCATACAGAGTATAGCTGAGAAAATCATTTCAAAGCAGTCCACTACATTCAATGGAAAGTGGCGTGGATGTGTGCACGTGAACGTGCATATGCACCTGTATGCATGGGTGCATGTGTGCTTGTATATGGGTCCGCGCGGAAGTGTACGGATGACGCGCGAGCGCGTGTGCGTGTGTGTGTGTGTGTGTGTGTGTGTGTGTGTGGTTCCGTTCCCCTTTGGCTCAAGCCGCTCTGGCTCGAGGGGAGCCGAGCCGGATTGCGCGGCCGCGGCCGGGGGCCTGCCCTCGGCCTCCCCGGGCCTCCTTCCTCCGCCCTCCCCGCCCCCGCCCCGCCGGGAAATGGTGCGGGCGGCGACCGCGTCCGCGGCTGCCGCCGCCGCTGGCCCCGCGGCGTCGCGGCTTGCGGTCCGCCGCCGAGAGCGGCGCGCGGCCTCCGCGCGCCGCGCGCCGCCCCTGGGGCTGGCGCCGCCGCCAGGATCGGCTCCGCTGGCCGCCGCTGGTGCCGCCGTGGCTTCGTGTACGGCTGTCGGGCCGCTGTGCTCCAGCGCGGCCGCCGCCTGCCCCGATGCAGCGGCCGCCTGCGAGGCGGCGGCTGTCGTCGGCCTGTGGCCGGCCGCCGCGGCTCTGGCGCGCTCTGCCAGGCTTGCCGCCCCGGCGGCCGGTGCAGATGCCGTTGCGGCCTGGCCGCGGACGGCGGCGTTCGGCCGGCTGGACGCCGCGGTTGGTGCTCGCCTGGGCGCTGCTGCTGCTGCTGGCGGTGGTGGGCCCGCCCTGGCCGCTGCTGCTGCCGCCTCCGCAGCTGCTGTTGCCGCTGCCGCTGCCAGTGCCGCCGCTGGTTTCCCGCCGGCGGTGGCAGCGGCGGACGGCGTGCTGGCCGGCGTTGCGGCGGTCTGGCGCGTCGCCGACCGACGCGCTGCTGGCCGCGGCGGCGGCGCGGGCGGAGCTCGTCGCGGCGCATCTGGATGTAGCCCCGCGGGCGGTTGAACGCGCGTCGGGTGCTGAGCGCCCGGTGGGGGCCGTCGCCGCCGGGGCGCCCGCTGGCTGTCCGCCGCGCGCATTCGACGACGAACAAGGCGTGCAGGATCTGGTACGTAGGCTTCTGGGACCCTGCTGGACTGCGGAGGGTAGAGTCCACCATCATCTGATACATCATCTCGATCAGCACGCTCTATACGAACGTGCGCGGCGAGATGTTGGGCCTGAGACTGGAGCCCGCCATCATCTGCTACAGCGTCCCGGTCTGCACGTGCGAGATGGACGTGCAGGGGCGCAGGCAGCCAGCCCTGGCGCTGCTCCGAGAGATGTTCAGAGTGAGGCTGGAGCCCGCCATCATCTGATACAGCGCCCCGATCGCGGCAGCCAGTCCTGGCGCTGCTTAGCGAGGTGCCGGGAGTGAAACTGGAGCCCTCCATCGTCGTCTTTCCCAGCGCCCCGACCAGCGCGTGCGAGAAGGACAGGCAGGGGCAGTGCGAGCCAGCCCTGGCGCTGCTCAGCGAGACGCTGGGAGTGGACTTGGATGGGGGCCCGCCATCACCTGCTAAAGCGCCCCGATCAGCACATGCGGGGCGAACGTGTACAGCGAGGTGGTGGTCGCGAAGCTCGAGCCCGCCATCGCCCGCTACAACGCCCCGATCAGCGCGCGCGCGCGAGAAGAACTGGCAGGGGCAGTGGTGGCCTGCCTTGGCGCTGCTCCGAGAGATGCTGGGGGTAGAGCCGGGGCCCGCCATCGTCTATCCCGGCGCCGTAATTTTCGTGTGCGAAGAGGGTGGGCAAGGTTAATGGCAGCCGGCCCTGGCGCTGCTCAGCGAGATGCGGGAAGCGGAGGTGGAGCCCGCCACCATCTGCTCTGGCGCCCCGATCAGCGCTGGCCAGACGAACGCGCGAAACGAGATGCTGGCTGTGATGCTGGGGCCCACTATCATCTGCTACAGCGACCCGATCAGTGCTTGCAAGGGGGACTGGCAGGGGCAGTCGCAGCTGGCCCTGACGCCGCGCCGAGAGATGGCGGGGCTGAACTTGGGGCCCGCGCGCCATCGATCTGTTCCAGCGCCCGGATCAGCGCGCGCGAGGAGGACAGGCAGGGCAGTGGCTGCCGGCCCTGGCGCTGTTCAGGGAGCTGCTGGGCGTGGAGCTTGAGTCCGCCGTCGTCCGCCGCGGCACCTCGATCAGCGCGCGCGAAAGGGGGCGGCGGTGGCCGACGACGGCGACGACGAGGCGGCGGAGGTCGCGGAGGTGGGCGTCGGAGGGGTCGTCGAGGGCGCGGGGGAGGTCAGGGAGTTGGATGTGACGTTCGGGGGCGGGGGCGGCGCGAAGGAGGTGGGGGCGTCGCCGCGGAGTTCGGGGAGATGGTGGAGGAAGCCAGGGGCGCTTTCGACGACTCGCGCGACGAGGGCGGCAAGGAGGGCGAGAAGGAGGTGGCCGTGAGAGGGGGGGGCGTCGAGATGAAAGCGGCCGTCGGCGCGTGCGCGGAGGTGAGAGTCGACGGGGATTCGGGGCGGCGGTTCTGGATGTTGGCGCCGAACGAACACTGCGAGGCACGAGCGCCGCGGGGGCGGCGCCGATCGCGACGCAGGGCGCCTCTTGCGAGCCTTCCCAGGTCAGTCCTGCGCACGTCAACCCAGTCGATGCTGCGCCGCCAATCTCGTGGGCGCCGCGCCGCCAATCTTGTCGATCTCGCGCGGGCCATGCCCTGCAATCTGCTCGTTGCGGGGCGCGCGGGGAACCCGTGGGAAGCCAGGGCGGTAGGCCCCGCGGGCCCGCTGACGCCTCCTGTCCGTTCAAGTGGAGCCCCGTCCAATCACGAGCGGATAGGGGCGACGTGGATGGCGCTCAGAGATCTGGTCGAGATGGGGAGGAATGATGCCTCGATCTTACTCTGACCGATCTCTGCCTGACGACAGCATCCCAGACCCTGAGGGGCAGGGCGATCTTGCCCTGCTCCGCCGTGCAGCTAATGGCCATTCTGCGCCGCTGTGGCCCGCGTCGCCCGACCGCGACAGTCTGGGCCCCGTCGAGCACTGCGGCGGCGGGCGGGCGCGCGAGAGGGGCGGGGGCCGCGAGCGAACTGGCCCGGCGCTCTGGCTGGGCGGACCGCGAGGGCGGCGCCGTTGATTCCCGAACAGGCGCGGGCGCTCGAGCAAGCTCGCTGACACCTTCCTGGCCCGCGCCGGCCAGGGGGGCCATGGGGCCGCCGGCCCAGGCCGACGAGTCAGACGAACTGGACAGCCGCGGGCGGCTCCGGCGCGCGAGCAGAGGTCCAGAGTCTTCCCGCGCCGGCTGTCATGGCGGCTGCGCCGCGGACTGCAGACTGGCGGCCGTCGCCGAGGGCGGCAGAGGCAGCGTCGCGCGACGGGCGCGCGCCTCGCGCCAGCCCCCCGCCAATCATGACGCGCGCCCGCTGCGATGGCGCCGTCGGGGGACTGACCTCGCCGCGCTCGGCAAACGCAGGGCGGCGTCTGGCTGGTGGTCAAGATGGCGTGGGCTGACTCCCCGCGGCGTCGTGAACACTGGGGTCAGTTCACCTGGGGCTACAGGAAACAAGGGATGGGGCGAGCTCGCCCAGACATGGCCCCACGACAGGTCGTAATCGACTTCCTGTGCTCCCTGCCATCGCGCGGGCGGCAGCCGGCCTGCACTTGCGCCCCGCCAGCCTCGGCGGGCCCGACTGGCCAGCCGGGGGCCCTGGCGCAGCCAGGCGCCCGGCCCGCGTGGCTGGCGCTTCCCAGACAGCTCGTGGCCCGCGTCGGGCGGCTGGGGGGCCAGGGCGAGATAGCTCGGAGAACTCGCTGCGCGCGGTTCGTCGGCGGTGCGTTCGGCCCGCGGCGGCGCGGCGCGAGCTTCCCGCGCGATCTCTTCGCGGCGCGCGAGTGGGGCGCCGCGGTCCGTCTCCCGTGTCGGGCGGTCAAGCGCTGGACATGCGCCGATTTGTCGCTGTCTTGTTTTTGGGCGCACCGATCAGTTGCTCTAGTCAGACGCGCGGATTAGTCGCGTGTTGCGCCCTGTCGCTCGCCGCTTCAGTTTCGCCCGCGCCCCCCTATGTCTCCGCCGGGCAATGCTTCCCGGAAGGGGGGGGCCAGGGCGACGGGGCGTTCGAGGGCGACGTCGTGCTGCGAACGGATCGTAGACTGGCCTGAGGCTACGCCATGCCGGGGCCCGTGCTCTGTGATTCGTCGTTTTGGGCGCGCGCCGATCTGCCGCCTCCTGATTCTGCCGTGTTTCGTTACCGTTCCACGTGTCTCGGCTTCGGCATTCCTGGCCTTAGGCCCTGTGGCATTTTGTTTTCAGTCGGAGGTGGCGCGGCGTTCCCGCTACCCGCAGGCGGCGCTTCCTCCGGCGGTGGTTCTTGGAGGGGTCTGGGGGGGGGGAACCTTTTAGTCCCCTTCCGAATCTTCCTTGAGGTTGGTTTTGGGTGGGTCGTGGGGGGGGCCCACCCGAAATTCACCCCAGCAAAAGCATTCGGGGAAAGGTTTTTGCAGGGTTCGCGGGGGGGCCCTTCTCAAATTCCTCGGGATCACCTCAGCGTTTTGTGAGGGGGTGTCGGGGAGAAAACCCCGGAAACACACCGCAAACACCCGTGAGCTGTAGTTTTGATGGCTCGCGGGGGGGAACCTTCCCCAATCCCCATTCACCCACCCTGAGGGGAGTTTTTCCCAACCATCCTGTGGTGTTGGGTCCTCATTTTGAAGAGACAGCGCCCCGCGTTCCTCCCCTCTCCTCTCCTCTCCTCTTCTCTCCTCTCCTCTCCTCTCCTCTCCTCTCCTCCTCTCCTCTCCTCTCCTCTCCTCCCCTCTCCTCTCCTCTCCTCTCCTCCTCTCCTCTCCTCTCCTCTCCTCTCTCCTCTCCTCTCCTCTCCTCTCCTCTCCTCTCCTCTCCTCTCCTCTCCTCTCCTCTCCTCTCCTCTCCTCTCCTCTCCTCTCCTCCTCCTCCCCCTCCTCCTCCTCCTCGTCGTCGTCCTCCTCCTCCTCCTCCTCCTCCTCCTCCTCCTCCTCCTCTTCCCATCACCATCACCATCACCATCACCATCACCATCATCATCATCATCATCAGCATCATCATCAGCATCATCATCATCATCATCATCATCATCATCCCCTGCCTCTCCCTACACCATCGTTACCCTTATCACCGTCACCCATCATCCGTCAGCATCATCATCTGCAGCATCATCATCCTCATCCTCATCCTCATCATCGTCCCCACCGCCCATGTCGTCACACCCGTCACACGTTTCGTGTCCCCACAGGGAACCCCACCTAAAGCTACAATGGCGGTGTTCGCATGCGCGTCCTCCGCCCAGGACAGCGTTTCGTGGCCCCATAGGGAGCTCCACCGAAGGCCAAAATCGGGGTGTTCGCATGCGTCTCCCCCACCCAGGACAGCGCTTCGTGGCCCCATAGGGAGCTCCACCGAAGGCCCCTGTGGGGGTGTTCGCATGCGCCTCCCCCGCCCTGAACAGCGTTTCGTGGCCCCATAGGGAGCTCCACCGAAGGCCAGAATCGGGGTGTTCGCATGCGTCTCGCCCACCCAGGACAGCGTTTCGTGGCCCAATCGGGAGCTCCACCGACGGCCCCACGGGAGGTGTTCGCATGCGTCTCCCCCACCCAGGGCAGCGTTTCGTGGCCCCACTGTGAGCTTCACCGAAGGCCCTAGTAGGGGTGTTCGCATGGGTCTCCCCCCACCCAGGGAGCTTCACCGAAGGCTTCCATCGGGGTGTTAGCATGCGTCTCCCCCACCCAGGACAGCGTTTCGTGGCCCACATGGAGCTCCACCGAAAGCCCCATTGGGGGTGTTCGCGCGCGTCTCCCCAGCCCAGGACAGCGTGTCGTAGCCCCATAGGGAACTCCACCGAAGGCCCCACTGAGGGTGCTTGCATGCGTCTCCCCCACCCAGGGCAGCGTTTCGTGGCCCCATGGGGAGCTCCACCGAAGGCCCCAGTGGGGGTGTTCGCATGCGCCTCCGCCGCCCTGAACAGCGTTTCGTGGCCCCATAGGGAGCTCCACCGAAGGCCAGAATCGGGGTGTTCGCATGCGCCTCCCCCGCCCAGGACAGCGTTTCGTGGCCCCATAGGGAGCTCCGCCGAAGGTCGCACTGGGGGGCTTTCGCATGCGGCTCGCCCACCCAGGACAGCATTTCGTGGCCCCATAGGGAACCCCACCGAATGCGCTGCTCACAAAGACGGTACTCACAACTGTATATGGTTGGGTCCTTCGCCAGGCTAATTGTGATGTTCGGGGGGGGTCTGGCTTGAACTGGTCCCACAACTCCCCGAGGGCAGTTTTTTTTTGGTGGGCCGAATGGGAAACCCACCAACATCATTTGAGGGAAATCAGTTCAGTTCCCAACCACCCTGCGGTGTTGGGCCCTCGCTTTGAACAGACAGCGCTCCGCGTTCCTTCCTTCCTCCTCTCCTCCTCCTCCCCCTTCTCCCTCCTCCGGCTCTGCGCCTCTGCCATCCGCATGTTCCTGTTTCGGCGCTCCACTCACACGTTTCGTGGCCCCGTAGGGAGCTCCACCGAAGGCCCCAGTGGCAGGGTTCGCATGGCGGCCCCGCCCCATTTCTGCACACCCCTCACACGTTTCGTGGCCCCATAGGCAGCTCCACCTAGGGCCCCAATGGCAGGGTTCGCATGGCGTCCCCGCCGCCCATTTCGGCATACCCCTCACACGCTTCGTGGCCCTATAGCGGGGCTCCGCCGAAGACTCCAGTGGTGCGTCCCGCGCCACCCAGTACGGCGTTTCGTGGCCCTATAAGGAGCCCCGCCGAAGGCCTCAGTGGCCGTGACCATATGCGTCCCCGCCACCCAGTACGGCGCTTCGTGGGCCCATCGGGAGCTCTACCGAGGGCCCTAGTGACCGTGACCACATGCATCCCCACCACTCAGTACAGCGCTTCGTGGCCCCATACGGAGCTCCACCGAAGGCCCCATTGGCCGTGACCCCATGCGTCCCGCACCACCCAGTACGGCGTTTCGCGGCCCCATAGGGAGCTCCATCGAAGGCCCCAGTGGCTGTGACCACATGCGTCTCGCGCCAGCCAGTACAGCGTTTCGTGGCCCCTATACGGAGCTCCACCAACGGCCCCACTGGCTGTGATCACATGCGTCTGCCCTCTCCACTTTCGGCACATCCCTCACACGCTTCGTGGCCCCATGACGAGCTCCACCGAAGGCCCGAGTTGCGACGTTCGCATGCGTCCCCCCCGCCCATTTCGGCACACCCCTCACGCGTTTTGTGGCCCCAGAAGGGGGCTCTACCGAAGGCCCCAGTGGCGACGTTCGCATGGCGGCCCCGCTCCATTGCGGCACACCCCTCACACGTTTTGTGGTCCCATATGGAGCGCCACCGAAGGCCCCAATGGGTGCGCCCGCATGCGCCCCCGCTACACATTTCGCGGCCCCATCAGGGGATCCACCGAGGGCGATGCCCGCGATGGCGATACTCACAAATGCATATGGCTGGGCCCTTCGCCAGGATGATTGTTGTTGGGTGGTCGGTGTTTGTTGTCTGTTGTGTATATTTTCAACACAATGTTGTTTTTTCAGTATGCGGAAGCGGTGCCCTCCCCCAAACACCAGCACCCTCCACTAGCCCCCGGGGCCCTGATCCCCTCGCCCAATAGGCCTTCCGGGGGATGTATTTTTTCCCCAACCATCCTATGGTGTTGGGTCCTCGTTTTGAAAAGGCAGCGCCCCGCTGTCCTTGTCCTCGCCTCTCCCCCCTCCCTGCCTCTGCCCCTCGAATGTCCATAATTTCTGCGCACGCAGTACAGCGTTTCGTGCTCTCGTAGGGAGCTCCACCGAAGGCCCCAGTGGCTGTGACCACATGCGTCCTCGCCACCGATTTCGGTACACCCCTCACACGCTTCGTGGCCCCATAGGGAGCTCCACCGAAGGCCCCAGTGGCTGTAACCACATGCGCCCTCGCCACCCATTCCGGCACACCCCTCACACGTTTCGTGGCCGCATAGGGAGCTCCACCGAAGACCCCAGTGGCTGTGATCACATGCGTCCCTGCCACCCACTTCGGCACACCTCTCCCACGTTCCGTGGCCCTATAGGGAGCTCCACCGGAGGGGCTGTGCCCATGTGCGTCCCTGCCACCCATATCGGCACACACGTCACACGTTCCGTGGCCCCAGAGGGAGCTCCACCGAAGGCCCCAGTGGCTGTGATCACATGCGTCCCCGCCACCAATTCCGGCACACCCATCACACGCTTCGTGGCCCCACAGGGAGCTCTACCGAAGGCCCCAGTGGCTGTGATCACATGCGTCCCCGCCGCCCAGTACGGCACGCCCCTCACATCTTCCGTAGCCTCATAGGGAGCCCCACTGAATAGGATACGCACCATTGCGGTTCTCACAACTGCATACGGCTGGGATATTTGTCCAAGGGGGGTACCAGGAAACCTCAACACCCCTCTCCCTCGCAGGTGCGGGCGCCGCTGATGCTGGCCGCGGCCGCCCAGGTTGGCGACGCAGAAAGATGGGGCCGTCTTCGCGGGCATAAGCGCGCAGGCCCGCGCAAGCCACCGCGTCAGGCCCGCGCAAGCCACCGCGTAAGGCAGCTGTGCCATCTCGAGCAAGGCCCGCTTCGCGTCGTCGCCCAGGTGCCGCACGCCCCCAACGTGGTGTGCGTGACGCTGCCGACGGCCGAGGATCGGCGCCGCGCCGAGAGGTCGGGGAAGTGAGAGAGAGAGAGAGAGATCACGGTCGGAACGAGGTATAGGATCGACGTCGATTCGGGGTGGGTACCCTGATGTTCTTCGTGTTTGTTGGATGTTCTTGTGCATCCTGGATGGAGGGTACCCTCGAGTGATCTTATGGTTTGGGGTGTTTTGGGCGGCAGAGGGTTTCTTCTGCTTGAAGAATGTTATTCCGTCCGAGGTCCGACCATAGGCCTTCTCAGAAGGCGGCGGGGTTTCTCGGAAGCCCCCCGCGGCCTCCTGAGAAACCGTCCTCGTCTTCGGAGAAAGCCCATTTCCAGTTTGAAGCATATCCCTATCCTTATGTTTGGCATCACCTGACCTCGGTGCCGATCTTACATATTCCCTCAGTTTCTGAAGATACATCCCTGAGAATGTCGCCGCGTTTGGCTTGCCGATCTGAGGATCGGGAGAAGTTCGAATCTGGTTATCGGGCCGCAGGACGGGGTAGGATACCCATCGGTCTTTGAAAGTAGGTATTCTTGGATTCCCAGATTCCAATCTACTTTAAGCGCCTTCCTACTTCAATGATCGAGTGGCTTCACCTTTTCCGTCCTCCTTGCTGGGCGGACGGAACCCAATCTACCTTCAACGCTTTCCTATTTCATGTTTCTACCTACTTACTTCCGACCGATGGGTAGGGAAAGGGGGGTACGAAATCTGCTGCCTGCAGCTGGTTTCCGCCCCGCCGTGGGGCCCATTCCTCGATGCATGGGCGCCTCCCGGCGCCAGGAGGCTCCAGGAAGACCCGCTCAGTGAGCTGATTCGCTACCCAGAGATTATTCTGGATGGGTTATTCATCAAGGGGGGGGTGATTCATCTTCTGATTGGGCCTGCCCAATCCCGCCCACCTCCATCCTCCTCCCCCTCCTGATCCCCCTCCTCTTCCTCCAACCTCCCCTCCACCCATTCCGACAGCATGTGCCCCCCCCCCAGCGGATCCAAATAGGGGGGCGATTATTGCCCCATCCAGATTAGCTCTATGAACATCCAACCTACTTGAGCACCACCAAACAGAATTTCGAGCACCAGGAAAGCACCGAAACTGGAGGGCCCTGAAGGGCGACACCCCTGGGAAAGTCTTCGCGCAGTCCAGCCCTAGGAGGCGGTGCTCCTTCGACACCTCGCCGGCGTCTCGCTGGCGCTCTGGGTGCTCAAGGTTTTTTTTGGGACGTGGTCCTCGAGTACGATGTTCCAAGAGGAGGAGGAGGAGGAGGAGGAGGAGGAGGAGGAGGAGGAGGA